AAAAGAAACGAAAATGGCTTGCGTAAGTTTCAAGTAGATTTTCTTTGGCTACCAAATCTGCAGCATGTGCAAAGCGTTTACAGCGCAAAATAGAAACACTACTAAATGCTGATACCTTGCTTTATCTGACTGTTTTGAAGCAATGGTGTTCAGAAAAAGATATCAGACGGAATTAAAAAGTATGAGCCTGTTAATATTATTAACTCAGTCACCGGCTTAATTGTGTGTACGTTGAGAATAAAAATTAATGGAATTAAAAAAAAAATTATGTCATTTATTTAAGAAATTATGAGATGTCTACTTTGTTTACACAGGTCTATGCAAACCGAGCTGGCCATTGGGAGAACTCGAGAGCTGATCAATGCAAGCCCGAGACCGAATGTTGAGGGATGCACCTGCTCGAGAGTTCTCACAAACGTATTAGAGTTTTGCATAAGCCTGTACAAACCAATGTGTGGTTGTTTCCATGTACATATTCTGGTGGTAGTGAGTTTGGATCTTGTCGTTTTATGATGTTTTTGTGTTCTGTGGGTCTTGTTTCGATTTTCTTTGATGTTTGTCCTATGTATTATTTTGAGCCGTCTTTACATGGTATCATGTAAGCAAATTACAAACGAACTACTCGGAAACGACAAAACTTGGCAAGTTATAACACAACTGGACCAAAATGACATCCTAGACTTATTCAACCTTTGCCTCTCCACTGAAATTGCCTTCCAAAACACATACTACAGGCACACCAATGGGGTTACCACTATCCATCTTCCTCGCGGAAGCCGTCATGCAACACCTCGAAACACAATGAGTCACAAACAACACAAACATCAGACTATGGAAAAGATATGTCGACGACATCTTTGCAATAGACAGGAAAGACAAAATTGAACAAGTCCTACACACCATAAACAATACCACAAAGAAAGTAACTTTCACTAAAGACGAAGAGCACGACAAACAACTTACTTTCCTCGACATCCTACTAACTAGAACAGATTACGCTACACTAAACAAACAAGTATAGCGCAAAACCACCCACACAGATCAAATACTCGATTTCAACAGCAATCACCAAACACAACACAAAATAAGCTGCATTCGAACACAGTTTAACAGGATCAACACTCATTGTAACAGCGAAGAAGCCAAAAAAACAGAACGCAACTACTTATACTCCACATTTATTGAAAACAATTACCCTAGAAACTTCGTAGACAAAACTTTAAACAAAATACAAAACAAAACACAAACCGACAAAAGTAACAAGAAACCGGACGAAACAGTAAAAATCGTCACATTACCATACATAAAGAAAACATCAGAAATGACTGCCAGACTTTTTCGACCATTTAATATTAACGTCCCCCACAAACCTACACAAAAACTCAAATCTTGTTTCACCATAAAGAGAAAACATAAAGAGAAAACAACAGTTCATGATACAACTGACGCGATCTACATGATACCATGTAAAGACTGTTCAAAGCAATACATAGGACAAATATCATAGAAAATCGAAACAAGACTCATAAAACACAAAAACGCCATAAAACGATGAGATCCAACTTCATTACTGGCAGAACATGCCCACAGAAATAACCACACATTCGACTGGACAGAAACTAAAGTACTCGGACGCGCACAGACTAAACACGCACTCGAATTGAAATAAGCTTGGTACAGTAAAGACAACGACACAATAAACAGACATATCGACATACCCATCATATACTCACAACTAAAGAAAAAGGACAAGAAAACTACAAACAGCACCAAAACTACAACATTACATTCTAATATTATTAACACTGGTCATATTCACAATACACCAAAAGCCATGGCAACGCTTTTCCCCCATTCCAATCACATTAATCCACCCTCTAATCCAATTAGACGCTCTGAAAGTCTACCAGCTAGAAGCAAGTGTAAATAGTTAATTTTCTTATTCTTATGATGGCTCGAAGCAACGAGTCGAAAGCTCAATAAAATAATTTTTTATACAATCCGGACAAACTTTCATTTTTTTTGTATATATATATATACAAAGTGTATATACAATGTGCCCTGCTATTCCGAAAATTGACCTACGTCCCAATGTCTTCGGAACACGAAGAAGAATCATAATCACAACTTTGGTTTCTAAAACAATTTTTTATTCTTACTCCTCAAAGTATCTCGCTTCTCTCGCTTGTCTCGCCCCTCTCACTTCCTTTCTCTACTCTCTCTACTTCCGTTCCACCCATAGTTTTCTATATTGTTCCTTATCGTCCCCAACGTACCCGAATGTACAATTGAAACCCAACACAATTTTAACATAATTTACAACACCCTCCCCCACATGTGACTACGAATGAGTCACATGTTATATTACTTTGTCTCGAAGTTTTTTCATTCCTGTAACATTAGCTCCTGATTTATCGCTTCCGCAACCACAGCAGCTTGTCGTCTTGGTGTGAATTCTTTGGCGTTCACTCGCAACTTCTTTTGATGGTTGACGTCACATTGTAATTCTAAAGGATAGATCAGTTGGATTGGCCTCTCAAGAGATATTTTTCCACACTGAAGTTTGACTCCTCTCACAACTCCATCCCTTCCACGGATCAACATCGTTACCTTTCCGATCTTCCACATATTTCTGTTTTTCTCATCACCCTTAATTAAAACGATATCTCCCTCTTTCAGATAAGATTCGGTTGCTGATTTGTTAACTTGATTGCATTGGCGTAGACTTGTTAAATATTCTCGCTGCCATCTGTTCCACAATTGGGTTTTGATTTTGTACAAATACTTTGCTCGCTTCCGTAATTCACCGTCCCTAATGTGATGACTCTCCACTTCAGGGATGACATTCATCTGTTGCAGTACAAACGAAGATGGCGTCAGTACGGGGAGTTCAACATCATCCTCTACTTAGCTCAGTGGTCGATTAGTCATACAAATTTCTACGTCCAGAACAACTTCTGCCAGTTCATCCAATTTCATAAGTCCTTTTCCAACGACTTTGTAAAATGATGATTTGAATACACCGATCAATCGCTCAAACTGGCCTCCCCACAAGGGTGCGCGGGACAGATTGAATCTCCATTTAATGCTATGTTTACTGAGGTCGCTGTGAAAATTATCGTCTTGCATTGCTCTCTTTAACCATTCCGCTGCAGCTTGGAACGTTTTCGCATTGTCCGAATAGATCAGCGAAGGACGACCTCGCCTTGTTATGAGCCGTTTTAGACTTCGCAGGAACGACGTTGTCTCAAGACTCTTCAACAATTCAAAATAGACTCCTCACGACAAACTACAGGAAAAGAGCACTAGATAGGCTTTTCCTTCTTGATTTTTCTTGACTTTATACTTAATCGGACCGGCGAAATCGACACCAATGACTTTATATATACGGTGCGGTTCTTTCTGTTCGAGTCTTTGGTAAAGGAGCAGGTATTGGAGCTTGATACTGTTTGGTCGTGAATCTCTTGCATCTGTAGCATCTCTTCCTTTGCTTTTTGACTAGTCAATGAAGCCAAGGAACCCAATACCTTTCACGGACCTCTTCGATCGTAAGTATAAATCCTCCATGGAGTATTTCCAAGTGTGCATCTTCCACTAACTTCACGATGAATAGAGCGTCATCAGCAAGTAAATAGGGAACTTTCCTTGTATCCGACCGCGTCATCTTAAAATCTTGTCATCGTCGGGTTGTACATTTAACTGAATAAGATCCGTTTGAGACTTTGGGTTTTCTGCGACTCCGGCTTGTAACATTTTTATCCATGAAATGTGTTCCTCTTCCCCTTCTTCAGATGTCAGTGGCCCACGCCTTATATCATCCCTGTTTTGTCGAGCATTATCAATAAATCGTTTCACCCACGCCCTAATACGAATCACCTTCCGCAATGGATGTTTTTCAAGAACATTACTCAATATTGCAAAGTATGACCGCTGGATAGCCGTGCTCAAAACTACTCTCGTCGCCTTTGCTTCACTTTGGGAGTCAATCGACGGTTTGACTGTAAGATCTGGTGGCCAAAGACTACGCTCTGATAGCCAGGCAGGACCTTTCATCCACATCTCGGTCAGTTTGCCACCTCTGCTTCCGAGGTCGGCCGGATTGTCGGTTGTTGGCACATGATGCGACACGATCTCATTAGAAGCTCGGATTTTTGCCACTCGATGCGACATGAATTGTTTATAATCACCCTCTCCTTTAATCCACCATAAAGCTAAGTACTATCTGACTAGCAGTGTTTTCTGTGTGGAATGTGCCTCAGCGCATTGCTAGCATTCGAGACCAAATTTGCGGCCATATGACTTGCAACAAGCTCTAACCTCGGGATAATCAATCCTCTTATGGCAAGTCTTGATTTCGCTGCCAGTAATTCCTGAGTAACTCCAGATGGTTGTTTAGCGACCGTGTAGACGACTGCGCACAAGCCTTCAACGCTGGCATCCCCAAATCTATGAATCTCTAAGCTACAGACGGGTTCTTGGAACGACAGAACCACTTTTGCCACGGTCACTTCGCTTGTTAAGGTGTTTTCACACTTCTCCCAGCTCTGCTTCAATTTACCAATTAATTCCGCGTCCCAAGGTAATTTCAGGTCACACACCACTCGATAGATTTGTTTGCCTTGCAAAAGCATGCGGGATGCAATTCTCATTGGATCATAAATCTTCGCCAGTCGACTTAAAATGTTGCGCTTCGTTAGCAATTTCCCACAATGTCTAATTTGTACACTTAACGTATCTTTCTCTTTATTCCACGTTGTACCCAGGATCTTCGTCTCAGTTGGCTGCACCCCAAATTATTGTTTGGCAGCAGTTTTCTCTTCATGATTTTTGTTAACACTACCTTCATCCAACTCCTTTGCGTTTGATGCCCATTTATGAAGGATAAAGGTTGCGTCACCCAGAATGTCAATAGCTTCCAATTTCCTTTTTCGTGCTTCATCCACAGTGCATCGTCCTGAAATGATGTCATCAACGTACAGACACTTTATCAGAGCCTCAACTGCGTCTGGAGCTTTGCTTTTCCGGTGATCCTAATGCGTTTCGAGAACTCCCTCAAGTAGGAATGGAGAAGAAACCAATACCAACAATACTCTCGTGAACCGTAATACTTCTACATCAGCCTGTGGATTTGGTCGCCAGTGAAATCTTAAAGAGCCCAGTTCACTTTCGCGTACACGAATTTGGAGAAATGCCTTTTGAATATCCCCAGAGATTGCAACAGGAAAACTTCGCGCTCTTACCTGCACTTCCCACAACTTGTTATTTAGCGTAGGTCCCGCGTACAGGCATTCGTTTAATGAAGGACTTTCTGGTGAAGCTTTAGCTGATGCATCGTACACCACTCTCAGTTTAGTGGACTGCGCTGACTCGCGTACGACTTCTTTGTGAGGTATGTAGAATTCATTACCTTTTGCTACGTTAGTTGCTGGTTCAACTATGCTATTGTGCTTTTGGTCTTGGATTACTGCGTTGTAATCTTCAGTTAATTTCTTTCGATGTAGTCGTCGCTCTAAAGATTCCAACCTTCTGATGCTTCCTGTTTTGTTCGATGGGAGAAGTGGATGATTTCCGCGCCATGGAAGACCGGTCTCGTACCAGCCCTCCGGTGATCGCGTTAATTGCTCTTTGAATTCCTTATACACCATTGATTGGTCGTGTTCAGCAGTGTCTGCTAGGCCCAGAACATCCAACCTGCAGAGATCTTCATAATCCTTCTGCGAAATTTGGGTAAGCAACATCCTTTTACTGTTTGGTTCCACACCAAGGCTCATGGCAAACCATCCGAGTTTTGTTTTTTCTGCAATTGGTTGCCCCTCAGTTCCCACTAGTGGATTCGTGCGAGTTTTTTTCCGTGCATATTTCCCGCTTCCCAAAACGATATGGACAGGTAATTGAGCTTTTTGATCATTATCAACAAATTTTGCATTCTTCAGGTGCTCAAAATCTCTTTGTACGTTTTCATAGTGTGGATTGTCCATTGTGAGTAACTCATCTTTCTCCACCTTGATCAACTTCACCTTCATTGAATAATCACTGTTTATTGCTTCAACTATCCCTTCATAGATTTCCAGTCTTGTTGTTTTTAAGTCAAAAGCATGTCAACTTTAGTGGTTTGTGTCTCAATTGGTTTCACCCTCAGCATAGATGCAAGTTAACCAGATATGTATGAACTTCCAGCCCCTGAGTCGATCAATGCACGACATTTAATTCCATTTATCTTGACAACAAGAATGGGGAAAATTCCTTCACCAGTACATCCATCTATAGTCAACACAGTCTAACCTGTTTTTGGTGTTTCTTCTCGATTGGCGACATCACATATGCTCGTATTGTGTCGTTTTTGGCAATTTCTGCATGATGACTTGCTGGGGCAAGCGTTAGCATGATGCTGTCCTGATGTACAGTTGAAAAAAAAGTTTGTTTTTGACTAAAATTGCTCTTCTCTCCTTGACAGTGCTGATTACTTAACATTCCCCCGACTTATGATTTCCCACACATTAGACGCACACCCCCTTTTCTTTAGTATGAAAGACTTTCTCTGACCTTCTAGATTTCCATCCAGGTGTGTCTGACTCTTTCTCACAGACTGGATTTTGCCTGGTCCACTGTCTGACTGCTTCAGTAAGCTTGGAAAAGTCCCAACTTTCCCATTCTGGTCATTTCTAACAAGTTCCCTACGTATGGCTGGGAATTTGTCTAGAGTCATGGAAACATTTCCTTGGACATCTTTCAGTTTACCCAGCGTTTCCAAAGCTTCAACACTGTGATTTAATTTCTCACTAAATTCGGCATTCTTTCTCGGGTTTGTTCCGGAGATATGTGACAAGTCCATGATCTCTTTTATGTAAGCTTTTATAATTTCCGAATTCTTCCCATAGTGATCTTTTAAAATTGACTCCGCTCTATTTTGAATTTTTTGCATTTACTTGAGCCTTTGTTTCTTGAAGCTTTACTTCAAATTTAAGTTGCTCCTCGCGAGCGTGATTTTCCTCTTCTTATTTCCTATTGTTCAGACAGTGTTGTAGCTTGTTTATTTCGTCTTCGGTTTCGCTTATTTTTTTCGATTTCCGCTTTCCAATCGCTGATTTCTTCAAGGTCGTCTTCTCTTTCGATTTTTACTGCTTCTGCAGCTCTTTTAAAATTGTCAGCTTCGTTTATAGTTGTTTTGAGTGCGTTCAGTTGTCGTTCGATAGTTTCTCGCTTTCCCGAATCTAATATTTTAGCTGTTCTTTGAGCAGATAACTTTAGTTGAGTTAATTTTATATTGAGTTTTGCTTCGTCGTTTGCCATGTTTGTATGGGACGCGTAATATCTCGTACGAATTTTTCACGAATTATCACAATAACAATCCTTCGTCGGTAGGTGCCATGTATTCCGAAAATTGACCTCCGTCGCAATGTCTTCAGAACACGAAGAATAATCACAATCACAACTTTGGTTTCTTAAACAATTTTTTATTTTTACTCCTCAAAGTATCTCCCTTCTCTCGCTTCTCTCGCCCCTCTCACTTCCTTTCTCCGCTCTTTCTACTTCCGTTCCACCCATGTTTTTCTATATTGTTCCTTATCGTCCCCAACGTATTCGAATGTACAATTGAAACCCAACACAACTTTAACATAATTTGCAACACTTCCGGCTATCACCATAGTGAAATGGTGACTCCTGCACTTGGGAAACAGGATGTACGGTTATATGTATGTATATGTCTTATCTCCATCGTTATTAAGTTCTACGATTTGTGAGGGACATACCAGAATATATAAACGAGCAGTTAATATGTCAATTAAACCTAGTCAGTGTTGATGTTCTCTGCAGCATTGGAACAACTATCATGGAGAAGATTGGGGAGAGTAACTTCCTAGGCCATGTATGCCTGTGAGCGAAACGAAAACACGGTTGGCCAACTGATATAGCTTATATATCTCTATCTTTATTAAGGTCGAAACTTTGTGAAAGACATTCCAGCAGATTTGAAGGAGCCGCTCATACGAAAAGTAAACCAAGTTGGTGTTGATGTTCTGTGCGACATTGCTACAATAATCATGGACGAGAGATGTTACGTACGTGACAGTGCTGATTTGATGGATAAATTAAAAGAAAAGAAAATAAGATTTCTGTTTCGAGAACTTCAAACGAAAAATCACGATGTTGCCCGTTGGATGAGAGACAAATTTCCTGTTGACAGTTTAGGTAGTGAGTCTGCTGTAAATTAAATAAATGAATGTATTATCAAATTTTGAAAGATTTGCTTGGGTTTGCATTTTTTTGACAGGTCCTTATAAATGTAATGATGATGAAAAAACTCATGAAATGAAATGTGGTGTTTACAAAGACATCACTGATAACTTATTATAAAAGTATGAATACGTATTCTTAGTCTAAATATGAATTTTTAGCATTGAGAAGAGTAACTTGTGTTGTTGCGTCGTAATAAATTTAAATTAAGACGTATAACTCCTTTATTTGTTTGTGAATTACTTTTATTGCATTGTCACGCATGAGCGTTGCCCCCTGGACTTTTTAACATTCTTCATTGGGAGTAGAGGGAGAGGTGGGTGTTTATAGATGTACAATTCAAAATTATACACATTTTTATCAGATACTTCACACCTCCTAAATGTCATTCGGTAATAGTCACTTCAAAATCTCATTCAGACTCACACTTACTAATCAGCGCTTCAAAATCACTTCCCAATTATTCACAGACGGTTTTTTCACTCCACTTATTGCTTTATTTGAAAATTTACAAAATTATTGCAATCTTTGGAGAAATAATTTTGCAATTATTTAGTGCGAGCACGACTTTTCCATAATGTATTTTATTTGCTAATTGAGTATAAAATATTTATTCAGTACGCCTTACTAAATAATTTTCGTTTTCACACAGTGCAAACAGAAGATTTGGAACGTCTGACGAGACACGCAGACATAAACATGAACCAAAATGAAATTGCTCTGATTAAGAAGAGGTCTAAAAATCCTTTTGAAAAAGTAATATCTCAATGGGAAGAGAAGAATAAATCAGAAGCTGGAACGCTGTATGATCTTCTGGTTGATTGTGAATTCTACACAATTGCTGATCTTTTGTAGAAATTTATTAAAATTATATATTATTTGTCAAATTTTTATTTTGCTTTATTCAAAAACATATTGAGCACTCTTTTATCTTGCTTACTTTTAGCTTAATTTTCTAATATTACTTATCCATATTCCATACTTGTTTCAAAGTCAATGCTTCCAAATTGACATTGTTATATGGTTTGACCAAAGAAGTTGATAAAGTTTTTGAAGTATTTTATTTACGGCCAAAGTTAAAAAATGCTCTGAAATATTGAAAACATTAAAAATTGGTATGGGAAAGGTATGAAAAAGCGATTTTATGCACAAAAATACTTAATGGAAAAATCTTATTCGTAGGCCCCTTATACCTTCAAGATCTTGTCAATTGATCGGTTATTTACTCCCGGGAAATGTATGATCACGGGAGCCGTAGACACACGACCTCTAAAGGCGCATGCGTTTGTCTGTGCGCTGGTATTGTACGCTTTGAAATGAGTCTTCTCTACTTCATTCCTACATTGTAAATTGTTGTTTATATTTCTGTTTCATTTCTTGCCGATTTATTGCGTATTGATGGAAGGAGAAGGAAAGAAAAAGGCGAACAATTTACCAGTTTGGGGAAACGAGCGAACGATGAATTTAAATAGTATGATCTTAACGAACATTCAAGGTTCCCCTTATTTCAAGAACCACTTGTACGAGTTGAAGACTTACCACGCTGTTGTGGACGAAATATATTACAAGGTGAGGGAATAATGGCGTGTTTCTGTCCTTGAAAAACTAACCGATGATCTTATTCAGCCAGATATCAATCACCAGTTTACAGAGATATGAAACGAACCAAATTTGAGTGCTATTTTTTGGTGAGCAGCGAAAATTTGTGGTCCATCATGGACATGGTAGAGTCTTAGACTTCACCTCTCAACCGTCTATTGGTTTTCGGCGGGAACCTTTGGAAAAATGGAGTTTTGCACAGTAAGATTTGAATGAAGTAAAAGCTAAAGGTTTTGTTTACTGCTGTGATGGGTAGATGGTATTTGGTTGATAATTCAAGACCAATTTGCAGTTTTTTTATCTAAATAAGTTTTGCATTTTGTGACTAAATCTTCAGCTGCTAATTACTTTGGTTGTGCCAGTCTTGAATGTAAAATTTGACCATACAGTGTAAGCAAATATAATGAGAGGTTTTTTTAAATATTTTTCTTTAACTTGTCGTTTTCTTGTTTAAGTGGATTTTGTGTTGAGTACCAGTAATCATAATTTTCTCATTAATGACATGTAAATTTGCACTTTCTACTTATATTCACGATTAGAATAGAATTCTTGTGAAAATGCAACTTTAGATTTGTGAGAAAAATGAAACTAGCTGCAAGTTTGTATATTGCTTAATATCCTCTGTTCTTGCTTGGAACTTGCAGCTTTGGAAGTGTAATGACATATTCATATCAAAAATCTTTCCTCTGTAAGTTCTGGCATGCTTTTCGATTGTAGAAAAGACCAATCTTTTTATAGAAAAGCTATTTTATCAATCCCTTCAAACTTCTTGAAGCTGACCTCCCACATCATTGCCCGTAAACCTGATGATGTTAAAATGAGTTCTTTGGAAGTATTTAAATCAAAGTTCAGGGTGCTTTATTTTGTAAATAGGATCAAGCTTTATCAATATCATGAGATTCGAAAACAAAACAGTTCTTCTCCTTGCTAGTAATTACCATTAGATCTCACCTGGCCAATGATGAATCCTATTTTAGTTTGAATCCTACACATGGCAGTATTTTTACTTTTTTTCCTTCAAAAATGTATGTTTTTTTGTGTAGGTTGATCATTTGGAACCTTGGGAAAGAGGTAGCAGGAAGACTTCTGGACAAGTTGGCATGTGTGGTGGTGTAAGTTTTATTCAGTTTTTATCTTGATGGATATTCAGCCTTGTTTCTTTTACATAATCAACATTGTAAATTATTCTAACGAATGTAATTGTTTTACAAAATTTAATGTATACGTTTTTATAAAACTTAAGGTAAGAGGTGTTGGTGCTGGTGGGATTATATCCTCCGCTTTCTGTTTACTATATAAATTGTTCACATTACGCCTTACGAGGAAGCAGTTGAATGGTTTGATCAACCACAATGACTCACCATACATCAGAGGTCTTGGCTTCATGTACATTAGGTATGTGCATACAGGTAAAGTGCCAACATTGATTTTCTAATAGATAGTCAAACTATGAGTTTCATATTTATATGATTCAACATATTTTGTTTATAGCATTTAAGTCAAATTGCAAATAAAATTTAAAGCACTACCATGTCAACCTTAGTTATTTTACACCTTTTATTTTCGATTTCCCATGCCCTTGTCTTTAGAAAAAATATATGATGATTTATTATTTTTATTGACTGATTATACTATTTCTAGGTATTCACAGCCACCAGCTGATCTCTGGGAATGGTATGAACCTTTCTTAGAAGATGAAGAGGTATATTCACTGTATGCATAATATTTATATAGTTTCTATACATTCATTCTTAATGTTCAAATCTGTCTAAACACCATACGTAGTTGAAATTATTTACCCAAGTAAATGCAGATAATATATGATGAAAAAACTGAAAGATGACACTTTATTACAACATTCTTGACTGCTCAGGAAATAGATCCTAAAGCCGGTGGAGGTTGTACAATCACCATCGGGCAAATGGTGCGCAGTTTCTTGCTCAAGTTGGACTGGTACGACTCCCTGTTTCCACGTATACCTGTCCCCATTCAGAAAGAGATCAATGGAAAGTTACAGGAGCGCAACCTCTGCGATGACAGAAAACGCAAAGCTGACGAAGGATTTGGTGAAGCTGAAAGGTACTCAAAAATGATGAGGGACAAAGAAAGGTACATTAAGATACAATATGGTACAAATGGTGTGGTTTACTATTGGGAAAGAATGTGTTGATTTCTCCAAAACCAAACCAAAAACAGTTTAGATTGTGTGTTTACTTATTCATGATTTTTATCAATAGATCTTCCAGGTTGTAGTATTAATGAAAAGTAGATGCAATTGTCTCGCGTTTGCCTTCCTATACATTAACCATTACCAAAGATAGTTTCATCAATTTTTGGAAATATTACAACCTGTGGATCTATTAATAACAATTATGAACTTTAAGCCCAGATTCAAACAGTAGCTGCAATCGCATGTATACTATTGATAAGGTTTTGTATGATTGCGAATGTTCACTGCATGTTTATATCTCACTCTTTGAACAGTGACCAAACTCAGGGTGAGACTAAAAGATCGGAACGCAGTCGTAGTTCCAGCCGCGATAGAAAAAGACATCGAAGTCGAGAACGTTCGCCTCGTCGTCGAAGTACGGAGAGACGTCGAAGAAGCAGAAGTCGAGAGCCAAAACAAAGTAGAGAAAGGAATGGAAGAGAGAGGAGAAGTCATAGCCGAGAAAGACATCGTGATAGCCATAGGAGAAGAGATGGAAGCCAGGACAGAGAAAGCAGTCGCAGCAAATCAAGGAGAGACAGATCTTAGAAAAGTTATACTTACGAAAAGACTTTGGACTTGTACTGTATGTATATATCTACATCTTTTTCAATTGTCTAGTCACTCATTCCCACATGCAGAGTGTACATTGTTTTTGACTTATGATCGAAAGTGATACTTGGAAATTGTTTTCATGCAAAGGCTTGAGATGTTTCTTCGCCCATTTTACAAAGCCCAAAAAGTAATTTTATCACTCTTTGGACACTAAGTAAACACAGGTTTTTTCATATGTTACGACTTTTTGCTTAAATTGATTGCATTTAAATGCATGTCATCCTACCTTTATTATGTACATGGTGATGTGACCACATTATTAATAATCTTTTGCAAGAGAAGGTGTAGAAGATATTTGGTTAAAATCCTGTAAATTGTGTAGATTGGTGCACAGAGTAGAAGTTCAAGCGTATTGGTCATCATTTTATTGAAATATTCATTTTAAGGCCGATTGCATGACTTGTTCTCCGGTTATAATGCATTTTTTAAACATTTTATGCCTCTCTCTTATTTTATACATGATAGATGTAAATAAACTGGCATTTGGCTGTAGAAGCTTCATGTAATCATCAACATTACCTGTCAACTGTATTAACTTATACTGCTTTAAAATAAAATATTTGTTTACTTCATATTAATATGAAGTGTTTCTCATCTCAACTCTACATGTGTAGTTTACACAGCTAAATACTAAAGTATTTTCATTCTTGTCTTCTGGGATATAAAGGATCACTTGTTACTTCTTTTTCTTCGAACGTTTTCCTTGTCCTTTTAGCAACAACAAATTCAGTTATTACTCCACTATGTAACTAGATTTGAAACTTTTACCGGTTCAATTGAAGCTAAGTAAGGGCACTTCTTTTAAATTGAAAAACTAACCTTTGGTTGGGGCACCTTTACCCCTTTCTCTTCTTTTGAACTGCATTTCCTCTTTGAAGTCCTATTGTTGAACAAATGGTTAAATTTCTCAGGGTACATGCTTATGCCAAGGAAATCAAGTTGGTTTAGTGTTAGATTGTGTATAGCAAAGAAAATGGCTCAAAGTTTTCAAAATCACTTGTCATTTGAAGGTTGAGAAACACACATACATACATAGCATTAGAAATAGTACTTTTACTATATTTTTCATGCACCCAATGATTCTTTAATCATCTACAAGAACCATGTAAACAATCTTACTAAATGCTCATCATGATATAACCCAAGGTGTCTCAGTTTAAACAATAGTGACTGAAATTGTTTCATAGGAGGATAGTAATTGGTTACTTGGTCTGCACGCGGACAGCTTCGGAAGTATTCGACCACTTTTTGTCCTCTAAACAAATCATTTTAGATAACAATGATTAGTTTGAATATCAGGGGTAGGTTAACCAATTTCTCTTCACAAAGGAATATAATAGGACTTGCTATGATACAGGATGTCTCAGTGTGATAATATGACAAGGAATAATTCACAACAAAACATGCCATGCAAAACAAGCAACTGAAGAAAGGACAACCATGGGTTGCCATGAATGGTAGAGACAGTGGAGTCAGTAATGGAGACAGTGGAGTCAGTATCGTCAGTACCTTAGGGTGGTCGGACGAGCAAGTTCCCCAAATATTCGTGCTCTTAGCACGGCCATCTTTCGAGCGTAATTCGTTGTCATTTTATTTTTCTCCTCTAAAAACCACCTGTCAATGTCGTATTCATATTCAATTTCATGCTTTCCGTCGCCATTGCTATCGTGTTTCCACTTGACATTCTAACTTTTCAACTATACGCAAATAAAAGATTGGCGGGGTTTTGACCCATTTTGACCTTGATTAAAATCACTGTCCTTGAAAGATTGAGAGTTTTTGAACTTATATTTTCTCAAGACGTCTCTAATTTAAAAAGTACTTTATTGGGTGAGCTCAAAAAAAGTGATTCTACTTGATTAGAAAAGTCACTTATAATTTTCCATATATGGTATGACGGACAATTCATGGCTTTTTTTGGCAACAAACCATGCACATGCTTATAACGTCTATCAATAATATCATCAAATTATAGTTCCACAAACTGTACCTGCGATTGGGTAGAATACAACAAATCCACAACTAAATATTTTAAGTTTCTCGAAACTTGTTGAACAATATAATTAATCACCCTCATGAATAAACTATTTTACCCTTAATTTACATACGCTGTGGATGTTGCAATTTACGAAACATTCCTTGCAATAATTTAAACAATCGATGGCGTTTATACGCATTCCATGAGTTTTTATCTCCTAAAAATAATATGATTTTACTTCCGGAGTCGGGAAATACACACGAATGTTTTGGCGAGAAGAGATTTTCGTGTATACACTTGTCGTTTAGCACGAGAACATAGCAACCTTATCGCAATGTAGGTCTAAATGAAAGTAGAACATGGGAGATCAATTACAAAAGATGGACTGATAGCACTGGAAGTTCGCTAATCTTTATCGTTCGTTCGATGTGGTTTATTTGTTGGATTTAAATGGTGTCAAACATTGGAAAATTAATTTGTTGAAGAAGTTGTCCCTATTACTGCCGAAAAGATGGAAATAAGCGAAAGCGATACTGTTAGCAGATATTCAGAATCTGGGAACTGCTCAAATTTAAAAAATGACTCTTTTGACGAGTTGCTACATCGACTGGAACAGCAAAACAGGTAAAGTTTTATCACAAGTTCTTTAATATGTAACATGGTTAAATAAAATAATGAGTAATTTTTAGTGGATGATGTAATCAAAGGTTCTATATCGAATTTAGAGTAAAATAAGTAGCACTGAATGAGACACTTGGCGAAATGGTAACTTTACATGATTAATCCAGACGACTCGAGCGGTCTTTGAAATCTTTTCCCTCAAATATTTTCCGACTTAAAATGTCCCATTGCCTTATTCAGGCTAATTCAGTAACTTCGACGACTTTGAACACAATTTCTCATTTGTTCGAAAGAAAAACTATAAAGTTTAATACCAAGGTGTTACAAAAAAACTTTATCGTTTGAAATTTAAGTGAAAGAGGTTAAGAGGTGACTGTTGGATTATTAATGTCTAAGACTAAAACAAAGAGTCATTATATATTTATTGCGAAGGAGAACAACAGCGCGGCTTGGGAAATATCCGGAACAGTATTGCCAATAGAATTCAAAGTAAACGTCGCTTCGTCTTCTTTCAAGTCCTTGGATACAGCGTAAAATACTTTCGTGATCGACATTTTTACGTTAAATAGTTTATATTCGGGGGAAAAAAATCGCTCTCAAAGTTTCCGTTGACAGTTTCTTCATGAGCGGCATGTGAGTAGAAGTTGTTATTTTATCTTTGTTTTGGTCGATCGTGTTGAAATAACTGTGATTAGATTTGGTACACAAGCGGTGTCAGGTTGCAAACGCATATGGATATTTCTGTTTAGCATGTTAAAAGTTTCCTCTGAATTCCTTCAGCAAGACAGACAGTATTCGAGACAGCGAAGGCTGTTTTAAGTTGTTAAAAATTGCTTGGCTTGCAGGTTTTCAGCAATGGCTGTATGGAAGGAGGTATATTGGTCGTATATGACAGTTACATAACAGGCGAGCAAAAAAGAGGAAAAAGTTGTCAATTGTAATATATACTTTAATGAAAAACCGTTTTCTTATATAAGTGAAGATAGCTTACCCATGTCAGTGGATAGCTGATCGTGTTTTCAATAAACATCAATGGATGTAATATCAAATATTGAATATTTTAATAAGCTCTCAAAGTTTTAACCGACGAAACAAGATTTGAGAAGCTCCTAACATGGGAATAACTGCGATAACTGTAAATGAGAAAGTGAAACCTTTTCCTGAACAATATTAGACGCATCTTCACGTAATCAAATCGTAGCCATTTTGTAAAGTGACTATGTTTTGGTTTAACAAGTACAAGTAAGTTCTAATTTAAGGCCAACCATTCAATAAAAGGCTACATACATTTAATTTACAATTTTTATTGTTTTTTTAGAAGAGAAGTTTGTCTAGACAGTATTCTAATTATAAATATTATTCTATTAATGCAATTTTGGGAGGTCTCGTATGTCACTAGCATAGCATTGTTGATCTAAACCTTTTCATACTTTTCAGAAACCTTGAAAATGACAAAAGAGCAATGTTGGAGCTCACACCTTCGCAACACAACAACAATAACAACTCTAAAAATCCCTCAGAGTCTTCGGAAGTTACAGATTCAGAATTGTCATCCATGGAGGGATATACTGAGAGCTTTGATACACCTGATGGGTTTGACTATGCCTCCTTTAAAGTTTGGAGTGAGATCATTAGAGATTGGGAAGACAACATGAAGAGAAGGCCAAAGTTTATACGTGACCTGACTCATAAGGGTATACCTGAAGCTATGAGGTGCATTGTGTGGCAATATTTTACTGGAGCATGGGAGTCAGCACTTATTGGAAAATATGCTTCACTAATTGAGGTGTGTATTTTAAAATTGAACTAATGTAGATGATAGAAGCGAGGGTGATTTATTCTATCTCTTAGCATCTGCCTTATGTTTTACATAACTGTTTTTGTTTAGTATTTGCAATAAAATGTATGAGATGTGTCTTGTTTATACACCTGTACAGTTCTAAAAATTTGCTTTAGATTGTGGTTATTTCATTGAAAAACCTTGGCTGGTTGTTAGTTTCAATGTTTCAATGAAATCAATGTAGGATGACATATATTTATTGATGCTACTTTGTTCATCATTTCCACATTTTATCAAGAAACAATTTCTCATTGATTTTTAAAAATTTTTATAGTATATATTATTATAAAATTCTTTGGTATAAAGAAATTTTGGATTAAAACAATAACAAGAGAGTGCTAAGTTGCAATGGATGATTTTTGGAAGTTGCCAAGTTTTGGTGCTAAACTTGACTGAACAAAATATTGTTTTATTTGTTTAATCAATTTTGTTTTATGCAGCACAATAAATTATCACATTTCTGATCAATTATCACAAATTGATAAAATCAGGCAAATTATATAACAATGTCAGTCTGCATATCCTGCTGATCTTAAGGTTATATGAGTGTTGTTGCTTTTTACCATTAAAAATAATAAGTATGTACTACATGTGAGGACTAGTTGTTGTGGATGTACACTAGAGGATATGCCTAGCATACTCTTTTATAATCAAAATAAATTGTGGGCTGATGTGGGCAGCTTGTGACACAAAGGGAATAAGCATCCTGGTTTGATCCCAATTTTTTACCATTTCATTCAATTCTAAGTAGACTTACCCTTTGCCACCACCTCCTCATTTCATTTATAGCACATGAGGTGTTAATGAAAATAGAGCTCTTTTTTAGAAAAATATGTATAACCAATTAAAAATTATCCATCTGCAAACAAATACTTATGTATAAAGACATGTATAGCAATGTTAATAAAACATTTTTTTGTTGGCACGAGCGTGCTTCGCCCCATATATTTTTCGCCAATTTTTACTCCATCAAAATTTTCTAATGTGCGTTTGTTAGCATAAAAAATGCCTATTCAAAATGCTTGATAATGATTCTTTAGACATGCTATCATGCTAACGCAGATCCATCGGTCGCCTATTATGTATATTCTATTTACATAATTTATTAATTTGTAAGACAGTAGTGTAAAAGATGCACCGACTGCATTTATTGGTTCTAATGTCGAACATTAAAACAAACAACGACATTGCCACGACCTCGCCTGCCAAAATCATTAATTACTGCTTTGCCAAACGATTAAAGAGCTATGAATATATTTATGATTAACTGGACTGCAAAGTGCAAAATTTTGTAATTCAAGACGAGTGCTTATGTGTCTTGCCCATAGATCTGTGCGTTCAATGATGTAAACTTTGTCCTTTTTTTTGTTTTTGCCACTGCTGAGCACAAAAATTATTGCAATACGTACGAAATAAACAAATTGGTTTTGCCATTGACTATGCTGTTTATGTTTTAACGAACTATTTTACATAGAAGCTTCAAAACGCATTGGGATGATTCATATTTACATGAACGAATAACTCCACCTCATGTCTAAACTACATGTCTAAATATTGAATGAATATATAAAACTGAACTTCATAAATATAACTTTTCAGGAACATTCCGCTTGCGAAAGAATGATTAAGCGAGACATAGCACGAACATTTCCAGAACATCCACGCTTCCAGAAGGAAAATGGTCATGGACAACAGGGGCTTTTTAATGTCATCAAGGTACATAAATCTGTTTCGTGGAATATTTTCTAATTAAGAAATAGAAGATGTGTACTGTTTTAGCATAAGCCACTGAAAACACGAAAAGCATTATTCATTTCTTTTATAAATATTGAAAAAGCGAAATAGATAAATTAAAAACAAATGTTTTTATGCACCGGCTAATGCAAACTCAGCTGTAAACCAATCGTTGCACGCTTTGTATTGTTGTTATTTTATGGACAATGTTGAATGGAAATTATTGAAAGAACTTTGGAAAAAGACGTTTCATGTTTTGTAAACTTTTATGGCAGGCATATTCCATCTACGACAAAGCTGTTGGTTATTGCCAGGGAAGCATGTTTATTGCTGGAATGTTATTAATGAAGGTGTGTTCCATAAGTGTCGTTAATTATATGTTTTCATAGCAAATGAATGTGAAGATCGGCGTAAATATTTTATCTCCGGACATCAATTGAGGGCAATCTATCGCGTATTTCTACTCTTTATTTTGTGTATTCTTTCGTATATTTAAATTAAAAGAAAACAAGTCACGTTGAGGTAAACCACAATATGCAGGTGCTGTGTTTGAACTCAGTATGAATAGAAAGTTTGTCTCCGTAATGAGATTGATTAAATCTAATCAGTTTGTCCATATTTGTAGAATTCTTTAGTGTTATTGAGAAAACTAGGAAAAGGCTTAAAATAATTGCCCTTATAACCAGCCCAGCCTGTCTGAACAAGAATTCCCATCTTATTCTAAGGTTCCAAATTCGTCTTTTGTTGCAAGTTATTGAATGTCGTCTCATATTTAACATGTATGTCGCGTTCTTTGCATTTTATATTAAAAACAACGTGTAATTAAACCAAGTTGGTTTTCCTTTAATGTTTTGTTTCACATTTCCCTTGTTGTCACGTATTAACCCAAATAAAGAATTCGTGTGACACGTTATGAGATAAATGCGTTACGATAAGTAATCTTCTTTGGACATGGCGCTATTTTGTATGTTCATTAACCAATCGGGTGCCATAGTTTGTTTCAAAGCAAAAATACTAATATAAATTACTTTGAATATTGCTCAGTGCGTATTCGGGCGAAACATGATGAGATGCTCGCTGGAATGCTTTTGGATGTACCAAAATATTCATTGAGCTCTCCATTTTTACCGATCAAACATTTAATAGTACTAAGTTTTTAATGTCTGGAGAAAAGAAATGGAAAAGTGAATTTAATCAAGAAAAAGGGGATGATACCTCGATTCTCTAATTTATCGTCTCGTGCTCTCGCGAACGACATGGCCTGGGTATTGCATTTATGTAAAAAATTATGATTTGATTCAATATTGGTTTGTTTGATATCTTTGACAGATGCCTGAAGAAGAGACGTTTTGTGTTTTCGTCAAACTGATGGAAGATTACGGAATGAGAGAATTATACAAACCAAACATGTCTGAACTTGGATTGTGCATTTATCAGTTAGAAAACTTAGTTCAGGTCTGTTGAAAGCACGTGCATTGATATACAATGTCAATGTAAATTATCGTATACTTGGATTCTTCAAAATGTTTTATAAGGGACAATTGGCTATGAATATATAAGGTTAAAATTAGTACAAACAGATTTGATGTTAAACTTTATTGAAGCTTTTGTAATTTACTCTGACTTTATGTACATAGATTCGCCTCCGACCGTGAGTTATTCCCTCGTATTCCACATTCATGTATTTCGTTTTTGATCTTTCGATTTTGCGTATTTGTATTTTTTAAGGAAATGCTGCCTGAATTACACGGACATTTGCAAGCGCAGGTCTCTTCTATCTTCATATTTCAACTTAAATTATTTTTGTGTTTTCTATTTTCCTCAAATCGAATTTATTGAACGAACCCTCTTATTTTCTTTATTTTTGCATTGTCCATAGGGCTTCCAAACGGCGATGTACGCCAGCTCATGGTTCTTGACCTTATTCTCGTCTGTGTTTCCACTTAATGTCGCTTTCAGGATCATGGACATGTTCATATCTGATGTAAGTATCAACTTTCATTTCCCTGTTATGATTTTATCTTAATGATCCGTGTACACACGAAAACATGTCTATGTTTTCAAGTATTTCTATAGTCAAAACAATTCATCGTAACAGCAACAAAGTATATGTTGAAAGCTTGTTATTTGTAGATTCAAAAAAAATTATTACTCCGCTAAATGACTGAATAACAAGCACTAAAAAAGTGTTAAGGTGTGCTTCGCATTTATACAAACAAAATTTCAAATTTTCTGTGTATCCTGGCTTTTAGTCTGGAGTGACAGTGCAAGGTGTTAAATCCAGATATTATTCACAAGAATTTATTGAACTTTATTTTATTTTCGAAATCGCAATGACAACTATTGCTAACTCTTGGCTACCATTTTTGGCTACTGTAAACTATCAATAACAACAGAACTATCATAGAAAGCTTCATCGCCTAGTTTGTTTTTTTTTTTGCCTCATTTATCCCCCCTCCCCTCTTCTTCTGTTTTATTTTTCTTTTACTTCTGTGCTTGACTAGTTTTGATATTCCCAATACTAACAGCGATACTGTCATACTCATGCCTGTGTAATCCTTTTCGAATCTTGAAGAATAATTGCGATTAAATAACTGATTCAATATTAACACGAAACGTACGTACATACACAAATATGTGCCAAGCAATTGTGAAGTACAGATGGTAGAGGTACTCATGCCTCGACAATTCAATACCATGTAAAAATAGGCCTCCATTTGAAAAAAAAACATAAATCAATTCTTATCTTCGTTTCTATTGTATTTAGGGTCGAGAGATTTTATTCCGACTGTCACTTGCCCTTCTCACGTTGAGTGTGAATGAGTTGTTGAAATGCGACATGGAAGAAATGCTCATGGTTGGTTTTGGCATTTTATATATGAACATGGAGATACTTGTTTTAATTACTTAGCTACACCATTTTCTCGTTTTTGTTTGCAGCATTTTCAAAAGACGATGCCTGAAAAGTACGCTGATAATTTTGAGGTCGTTGTTGAAGAAGCAGACAGAATGAAAATGAGCGTGAGAAAAATGAAAAGGTGATTTTGTCATAAAAATTTACCAATTTGACGTCTTAGAGACCCTGTCTGCATTTGTCACGTGTGGTAGGTAACAAAGTTCTCCGTGGTGAAATTTTTCATTTAACTATGCGTACACTTCATACAATTTCTACCATCTGTACTTCACAATTGCTTGGCACATATTTGTGTGTTTACGTACGTTTCGTGTTAATATTGAATCAGTTATTTAATCGCAATTATTCTTCAAGATTCGAAAAGGATTACACTCGAACTAAATCTAAAGAGGTCGAGGATAGCGAAGAAATACGTCGACTGAAAACAGAAAAGAGTATATTGATTCATCGTATTAATGGTTTAGAAGATGTAAGTTATGAACCATTATTGTTCTGATCAAATTATCATACCCTTATTATTATAAACACCTCACAAAACGAAAGTTCCACCACTTCACCCCACCCCCAAGATATATTGTGATAAATTCTTAATGAATTCCAGATAATTAATACACAGTAATAATCAAACTAAAGGTTATTTGCTACCATGCAAAGAATGAGGTCACTCATGCTTTAATATCAAGAAAGAATTGTCTCTTGACTTCAAAAATACCCAGTTTTACCAAAGTACGATTATAAAGTAGCATAGTCAGCAACTTTCCTTGGTAATAATCGTCATTTGGAAACAACATTTTGAACAATACCCAGATTATCGTATCAAAACAGGGGTATCGCAATTGGTCTTTCAGAGACTGGCAGTAACTTCTTCATTTAGCACTAATATATTGTAGTAAAAAAGAACTGCTCACTGTCAAAAAATGTATGATTACCCAGATTAGGGTAACATTGAGATGAAGGGCCGAACTTTGGATATAAGTTGCATAAAAGAATAATAGTATGTTTATAAACTACTAGATTTTCCTCTTTCTTTAGTTACAGCTTTGCATCGGTTAGAAATGTTGTCTGTTAAGTAAATCAATCTTTGGCGTAGAACGTAATCATAACTATCTAACATTACTAGACAAACTATGAGCAGTTCTTTATGAATGTGTTTGCAATTTATCTCGAGGGGAGAATTTTTTGTGTGGTGCATATTTTTCCAGTTATAGAAGGTATCGTTAGTAGTTTTATCAAAACAATTAAAAGTGATTTTTTTTTCAGGAATGTGCCAATTTGGCAGACAAATTAATAAAGGTAAAGAGCACGTTGACTCTGTATTTATTTTGTGAAGTAAAAAACAAATTGAGAAAAAAAAAACAAGGTATATTTAGTTTACAAAATACCAAATTCAAAACCAAAACGCAGGTACAAAATCATATTTTCCCCCAAGATGTCTATTTTTTCAAAAAGTTTTGTTGCTACGTTTACTTTTTCAATTTTTTGGTCAGACATTTTTGTGTACTAGTTCTAGGTGGTTAAGAACTGAGTATTCAAAGACCGACCATCATCAGAAAAAATAAATGACAAAACGTTATCAACGTATTTTCAATTCAAAACGAACCACTATGATTTATTTTTCTTAATTTATTTGCTACTCTGAGCGTTGTACCACTAAGTAATGATTAGAGTACAGCTGATATGAGTTGACCTTGGGTTCTGCGTCACATCATTTTTGATAAACATTCTTGAGTAGAGCTTTATATAAGTATTTAATTATTATTAAGAACAGTTCGTTTATAATGAAGATAGATAAAATAGAGACCAAGTTTGCGAACACCCATTTATGTCTAATGAACCCATGTATCAATGAACACAAAACATTTCTCAGATTACAGTTTTTAAAAGGAACTTTGAGCGGAAACTAAGCCCAATGTTTATTACATTTAAAAGCAATCATTGCATGTGCGGTGATTTTTATGAATTCTGTAGGATCAAGTAACGAGGGCTCAGGAACAGGAAGAGATGTACGTGATTAAACGTGAGCTATCGATTTTAACTAAGCGTTTTGAAACGATGAAAACCGAACTGGAAAGGTCGATGGAAAGAGAAAGTGAATTACTAAAATACAAGGTAAGTTTTGAATGCGACTTTCTCGAAAGTAGAGACGTTAATCTTTCCATCTTTAACTTTTACGCCTCAAAGAAAATGGTCGAAAAATCGCAAAACGAGTCAAAAAATCATAAAATGGTCAATCCTTTTGCATTGGAACCAAGCTAGTAAAAGGCCATCGTATGCAGGTGAAACTAGGAAAATATTATATGTGTGAAAAATTCATTAGGTAAATGCTATCGACCCAGTGATCAAACTGCGATGATGTTACGTATTTTACAGTACTACCCGAATTCTTATCCATTTAGTGCTCCATTTTGCAGGGAGCACTGCTATGCCATGGTCACGTGCTATAGAGCTAGCATGGGTGTACCATCGGATGTTTTTTATTGTCACTTAGCTGGTAGCACCTCGATAAAGGAGATATTTGTCCCCCCGGAATCAATACATATTTTAAAAGAATTGATGGGGTAATGCCTGCTGACAAACATGGCATATCGTTCACGCTTAAATTGATGTTTTAGGAGTGCCGTAGCTAGTCTCAGTAATTTGTGGGGTGGTGTGTTAGAATCCGTAGAAAAAGAATTTATTTCAAAAGAACCCGTATCGGCAGAACATGATTGTTAAATATCCCTCCCAACTATTGAGCTGACTATGGCACTGTGTCTTAGCGATCATACGTAATTCTCCTATTCGATTCCCATAGAAAATCCTCGATTTTCCAAAGACATCCTCGCAATTTTTTACGTTTTGCTAGTTAGAATAAGTTGATATTTTTTGTGTAATTATGAATCTTCCCCGCGACAAATATTTATAGAGTTATTTTAATAAAATAGATATGTAACAATAATTTATGTGATTATGTCAACGAAATAAAAGTGTGACGAATATCCTTGTGTTTGAATCCATGACAGATCCAGCATTGATCAAAACTCTTTTGAGCTATACATACGCATACAAACGTACTGCTTTGAGAAAATTATCATTTTTACGCAAAGAAAATCTTCTGAACATATTTCTGCAATAGTAATTGTAATGTCGTGTGCTCCTTACGGTGACCGTTTTTGGCATTTGGGTTTTGCCGGGGGATGACACTTAAGCTAGTGCATAATTTAGACTGTGCGTTCTCTGTGAAAGCTACTGTTTACAAACCTACAAGTCATCATAAGCTTAGAGCTATCTGCTGAATGAAAAGTTAGTCGTGTTTGTTTTTACAGCACATGTTTCACAACTTGCTGAAAATTTTCACCAGGTTTTTACTGAAGTAAATAGTTCTGATGCAGTGACTCTGAAAGGGCGTGGCAATCCCTCACCTCATCTCCACCTTCTAATTCTATTTAAAACTCAAGCCATTTGTACTATTTAGAAATATGCGTAAATGTATTTTTGTAAGTGTCATTTTGGGCGATTTGTACCCTCCCCCCTCCCTAGAAAAAACAATTGCCGCCATCACTGTTGTCGTGCAAACTATTAAATATTTTGTGAGGACGACTGGAGCCTAAAGCTAAGATTCAATGTATATCATGGCGGTTGACTTGCACTACATTTGTAAAAAAATTTTGTGTAGGAGCATGTGAGACTTTCGAAAAACTTAATTTGCCTGGGGCCGGTTTCACGAAGCCTGGATAGCGTTATCCATTGGATAACAAAAATTTTTAAACTTTTGAAAAAGGTGTTATATTTTACTTAAGGCAAAACAATTCTTAATCTTCGAAACAATGTTTTATTTCAATAATTGCTCAGTTTCATTCTTATATTTTTTGCTTTTTGAAAGGTTTTATAAAAGTTTAAAAAATTTGCTATCCAATGGAGAACGCTAGCCAGGTTTCGTGGAATCGGCCCCTGGTGAATTGTCCAGATTTGGTATTTTTAATAAATCATGGTGCCGAGACCTCGTAATATCCGTTCCATATCATTGTCGAGAATTAATTTCTGAAATGAACTTATAAGTCGACAATTTCCGATCAGCAAAACATTTTGGTATTGTCTATAAGTTAATAAAATTACTTAAAATTTATGTACTAGGAAAAACTATAATAAAATGATAAATGGTAAAATCTCGTGCCATTAGATAGAGAATGAAAGAAAATGCTTCATGAATTCCACATTTATATTTTAAAGTGAAATATCTTTTATATTACAAGCACATAAGAATGACAATTTTAAACACAATTTGCCAATTTATCTCAGCATATTTCGCTTCGAATGTCTATATGTGTACTCTTCATAGCTATGATTTAATGACGTTCATGGACTTTCGAGCATTGTGCTGAATAGATCGGTTCGTGTTTGTTGACTGATAATCTTGTGTTCTTTGCAAATCAGTAATTGCACTGGCCTTGATTAAAGGCAGTGGGTCGGTTTGAACACGACATTGTGTGGTGAGGCATGGCTTCTGATGTATAAGATAAATGATAAAAAGGTCGTGTTGTAGTGAACATTGGAATGGCAACGCTGTTCCTCATGGTGAAAATAGTTTTTGTTGTGATTAGATGAACAACTGAGTTCGGAGGTGTGGAAGGCATTACGTTTGAGGGGGTTTGAGCGATGGACGCATAACTTCCCACGAGCTCCTGTCTTGGCTTGCTACATCTCTGTGGCCTGGACAAGTTAAGATTGTCGAACATTACGTCACTTTCATTACAACAATTAGGATGCACTGAATAGTATTGATCTTCATCTTCTATTTCCAGAGGTAGTTCAACAAAACTGCCGTGCTTTAAGGCCTGTCGTACACTGGCACGCCAGTTGATTGGGCAATGGATGAAATTAGGGTATTTATGCATTAAGAACTCGTAGATTTGTTCTCTTGTCATCTTTTGATTCGGTGAGCTCATGATCGCTATTTGTGCTAGAGTCACGTAGCTGTGCGGCGGTTTCACATTAGTCCCTTGCCTTTGTTGGAGCTCTGTATCAACTGGCACTCCGATGCTTTTTGTGCTGCTTGTTTTGGACATTGCCCAGTAGTGGTAGTTGCCTCCATCGCTTGAATCCCGACATAACTTTTCAAAACCGTTGTGATATGACAAATATTTTACAACTTTATCATACAATGAAAAAGTGGCACAGTGAGGGAAATTATCGGCGATGAACTTGACGATTTCTTGTTCAGTCATCATTTGACGTGGCGAGCTCCTTATGGCTATCGCGATAATGTCGATGTAAGTTTTGCTTACGGATGCTGACATTTGCATGTCGCTTGAGCTTTCACTCCTGTTTTCAGACCTCTCGCCAACAATGCTTTCAAAATATGGCGGAGTCTCTATGAACATTTCACTTTGAAATCGAGTCTCCCTATTTATAGCGTTTCCACGGTTTCCTGAACACATATTTCTCCCCCTTTATCGTAGATTCAAATCTTAAATGAAGATGATTTCAAAACATGTGCAAACTTATATGAATGCTTGAAATGACGCTAACAATGGTTGATAAGGTGATTGGGGAAGAAAAGTCATTCATTTGCAATTCAGGAAATCGTATCTGCTTAATTATAGCAATTCTTTTAGAAACGTCGTAATAGCAATGATAAAGCAAATCATGTTGCTGGAGAAACATTGGTAGCGTGGCCAGTGTGTGATTTTAGGCTTTATGAACACCAAAACGCGAACCTTTTCATATTTTTAGAAATTAGTTGTTCTTATATTAAGCACAGAAATCCTTGCTTAAAAGCATTAAATATGAGGACTCATTCAGCTTTAGCGTTTTCACACGTTTAATGATCAACATAACAATAAATGTAACGGCCGTCCCAAGCCGAAATTCTTTAAAATTCTTTTCAAATGGTTCACCAACATGGGTGCCCTGACGTCAGGTGAAAACACTATTTTATGTGTATTATCATTTCATCATTTGAAACCAAGAATTAGGTGTATGGGTTGTGATGATGATTTTTTAAGGTTATTGTGAATCAGTGGATAGTCTTCGTGAGGTTATGGTGAAAACTAGCTAATAAGTAGCTCTATGGTAGAATTTCTTGCTAATGAAGCTGTAAATGACAAGGAAGTGAGCCACGTGTTTATAATGGTTAGCAAAAAGTACAAAGATCACGTTTTTAATGAGATCACATTTTTAATGGAATCACGATGTAAGTTATTGTCTGGTTTTTGAACTTTCACAAAAAGAGCTGTTAAGACTTGGGCATTAAATATTTTGCTTCAAGTGTTCTGTGGACGCTTAGACGATAGTTTTATGTTTCGATTTACATTACGCATTCAACACATCTCATCAACACATTTAGTAGAAGTTTATATCATGTGTATGTTTATAAATATGTTGCTAAGATATTGCCTCAGTTCATAATCATGGCTGACCGAGCTCCCTTGAGCAGGCCTCTAATCAGCAAACATCTAAAGAAACGACAAATTTTGAAAAGTAGAAGAAGTATCTCCTATGGTCATATATACACGCGGTGCATTTGTTAAGGCACAATTACTACCATTTGCATTTGACAATAGAGAACGATATGCAATTCTTATTGAATAGCCATTAGGCAAATTTTTTGTTATGTCGTCCGCATGTTAAAACTCATGGCTTTTTAAAGATCGTGAGCTTTAATGCGCCTTCTTTCCTAGTTTAATTGTAAAGATCTCAAATGCTTGTGTTATGGTTTTCAGCACATTGCTATTCAGATTTGATCTTTTAAATTATATATAATTTATTAAAGTAAGTGGTTTGAACCCAGGAGTATCGTTACATTTTGTAAATGTAGATCGTCCAGGTTGGTATAGTCCTGAGAAGGACTGTTTTGTTTTTGTTGACTGACGTTTCGACAACCTTAGATGTAGTCATCGTCAGAGTCAAAAATGACGAACTAGCATAATAAGAAAAGTTGTCGATGATAAATTAAATAATTTCTTTATTTTGACAGCATTCGACGCGGTGAGCAAGTGATGGCCATTTTGATAAGGTTCACCTATAAGTAAAAGATTGTTTACTTGTTGATGGTAGGATTTGATCGGGGATTGTTGGCACGCTTAAGAATGAGCTGGAATTGTGACAGTTTAATTTTGGTACAATGCTAAAGTTGGTCCCATAAGATGTTGAAGTCGCCTTGACTGTTTCTTCTTCTGACAGAGCTATATATTTAGCATCGCTTCCACTTGTAATCCAATTCATGCTTCTTTTACAATTAATGGCCATTTTTATACTCGAGACGCATAATGCGTCATCTTTATTATTCGTCTAGTATAAAAACGGACGAATTATCCAGCGAAGTGTTTTACAAGCAATATGATAATTTTGCGAAAAACTTATTGATTTTTGGCGAATAATCTCTCTCACCTTTTTGAGTTATTCGTCCAAGTGCCGTCTTTATATAGACATACGCATTATACGTCTAGACGAATTTTGTTCGATTCTTCGTCTACAGAGACGAATAACCATTGATTATTCGTCTAGACGTATAATGCGTCTTGTGCCCGTCTTTACACTGAAGCCGCATAACCAGACGAAAAAAATTTATTGACCAAATTTGTCCAGATGCATTATGCGTCTCTAGTAAAATAACGGCCAATGTCGATTCAAATCTTTCACCTTAATCCTAATGATTTTATCACACATGCAAATTCATTTCTTTGTGCTTGTGATGGCAGCGGTCATTGATAGAGTTTATGTTGTGAGACGAAAAAAACTCACCTGCTTTTGAGATCGGAAACTCGCGTCTGCTTTATGAATACATATTTCTGAATTAAATTTTTTTTTCATTGAAATTACTCATCGAAATGTTAGAGGCTTTGCTCTTTAACTGTGTTTATATTAACGAGCGTCTTTGAAAGATCCACGACCATCCTGTAATTATGCTCTATTTCAATGCAAATTTTATGTGTTTACCAACTGCAAAGTGTAAAACATTTTTAAAGAAAAGAATGATGATAATCCTCTAAAATTTACATATCATGCAGGTCTAAAACCTGGGGAGTGGATTAATCACTGCGGAAACAAGTACTCATCAGAAAAAATTTAAATAAGCACAAAATTACATATAGGACCAAAACATGCATGACAAAACATGTTTTGCATCGGAAAGATGAAAAACAATATTTATTTACAAATCACTGAATGTATAAATCAATAAATCAATGTTCTTTTAACGCGGTAAAATCTTCATTTTAAGTAACAATAATACAAAGCATTTACATATAACGAAATACATATAGCAATAAGTGAAAATAATTAAAATATTATGGTTTAGAAGATTGTCATTTGGGAGTTAATGTCGATATTTAACATTCTGGTGCCGGTTGAACGAAGCCTGGATAGCGTTATTCATTGGATAGCAACAATTTTCAAAGTTGTAAAAAAAGGTGTTTATGTTTTTCGTGCGACAAAGAAATTTTGTAATCTTCGAAACAATATCTATTTCAGTGATTGCACAGTTAAAATCGTATATTTTTCTTTTATAAGAGATTTTGTGAACGTTCAAAACAATTCGCTATCCAGTGGATAGGGCTATTCGGCCATCGTGCAACCAGACCCTGTTTAAGGAATGCTATGTAGCTCATCGCAAGCTCATGTAAAGCCAGACCAACTTTGATCTGATCACTTGACCAGACATGAAATCACAAGAAATTTAGTTACGTGGGCAAGTAGAATAGAGCAACAATAATGTGTTTGATCACAAGGGCGTAGAAAGTTTGGTAATCGGGGTGGGCAATATTCATATATGCATGTTATATTCAATTGGAAAAAAAGGAATTTCTAAGGAACTTGCATATCACTGCATATCATAAATGCATATCATTAATTTATAAATATTGCTCCCTCCAATTATCAATCTTCTTTCGCGCCTGTTTGATCAGTTTGTATTCGTTGAACCTTGCACGGGATTACATCTTTCAGATGAGGCTATAGAACTTTCTCCAACATGAAATAAGTATTGTTTATCTTCTGCTTCTTCGTCGGATGATTGTATTGTTGAGGTGTAGAATTGTGTGTAGTAGTATATCACACAATCATGGAAAGTTTTGGCATCATTTGTGCTGTAGAAGATATAGGATGCGGCATCATTTATGCTGTAGAAAATATAGGATATGGCATCATATGTGCTGTAGAAAATACATTATATGGCATCATTTGTGCTGTTGAAAATGCATGATATGGCATCATTTGTGTTGTAGAAAAGGCAGGATATGACATCATTTGTGCTGTTGAAAAGGCAGGATATGGCATCATTTGTACTGTAGAAAATACAGGATATGACATCATTTGTGTTGTAGAAAATACAGGATATGACATCATTTGTACTGTAGAAGATACAGGAAGTGTGGCATCATTTGTGCAGAGGAAAATATAGAACACATTAATGAAACGTCAAAAATATCATTAATGCCAAAAGAAGTTTTGTGTTGTGCTGTTTGAGGAAAAGATTCTATGTTTTGGTGCAATGAAGATCCCTGTTTTGTTTTTTCCAGCTATGTGGCGTTGGTAAATTATTATCATCAAACATGTTTTCATTACTTTTACAAAAAGTTAGGAATAATTTCCACGAATTTTCTAATGAGTATGTTCCATTGGTATGTTCTTGCTGTTTTTCAAACATTCCCAATGGTCATAATGTACTTGCCATTTTCCATAATGCATTCGCCATAAACTCGTTATTGGTCGCGTTCGTAAACCATTGAGTTCTATAATAACTGGAGGGACTAAGTGTACTGGGTCGAGGCTTGAAAAAACATTGATGCCTAAGGACCTATTTCTGCCGAAAAGTTTGCTTTGCAGATAAAATATTCTCGACCCCCCTGGTTGCGTATAATCAATTATTGAGTTTTTCAAAAACAAACGCGATGTCTTTTTGGCATTTTTTTTATAATGCCAACACTTCAATTGTTCAATTGTTGAATGTCGTAGTTTACACAAAAAGGATCATCTGGCTTTTGCAGGTGAGATATTTTCCTGTTTTGTTTGTTAATTAAATATTGAAAAGCAATTATGCACTTGAAAAGCCATAAAATCCGTAAGACTGTATTTTTAAGACTGATTTGAACGCCAAATATACTGATGTTTTCCTGTTTTTGTTTATAAAATTCTGCATGCTTTTCTGTTATTTGTTAATGTATGAAATCGTAAATATACTCTGACGCAAAAAAGACTCTGCACGTTCTAGTCAGTTGCTAGATATCAAAAAGAAACGATCAACCCAAAGAATACCCATGATTTCGGAGCTTGTTATGTTCTATTTGCTGACAACAAGCATGGAAGATCAAGAAGCAAAGATCACTAGAAGATGTTATTGACCCGGCAGAGTCTATAGTTTTAATATAAAAAAATAACAATACTGAAAATATAAATGATTTATTTCCATCCATATACAGAATTATTTAAATTTATCATAGTCAAATTCTAGAGATGGCGCCAATGGATTTACTTAGCATCCCTTGAATGCTTTGAAATTAAAGTTCAAGTACCAAAAAAAGATGGCAAGAAGGTTGCGTGTGTTTTGATGCTTGATGAAACGTCAATTTACAAACTTGTAAAATGGGATGGCTGTAAAGTTTGTGTTTATGTAAACATTGGTACTGAGATTGATGATGACTCAATGCAGATATGAAGCTTCAAATTGTATAATCCATTTGATTTTCTATAACTTAATGGTTAAATCATGTCATATCTTTATCAAAATATTTTAGTACAGTGTTGTTTGAATGTTAGTGATGTCTAATACATTATGCATGCAATACTGAATCATTGATGAAACCTTTAAAGTTACTGTGCTATGTATTTCTTCCTTCTTTCAGTTTTTGCTTTGAGAAGCAGTTTGAGCTTATTTGCCTATTAGAGTACAGATTAAAGATATTTCATTTGCTTTATTTGCAGCTTTTTATACAGTAAATATTTTTGACTGTTCAAAGTTTTTCTTTAATTTTTTGCTTCTTAATTCTATTCATGAGATGGATGAAATAGAGGTAGTATAATTTAATAACTTTATAATTTCTAAAAATTATGAAGTTGTTTATAATTTTTAATATTTAATCATTTAATATTTAATTTCTAGAATGAAATTACACAAAATGTGTGTGTAAGGATTTAATGCCTTACTATAACATTTCTACATGCACTTGATTATTCTAGTATGAACAGCATTAAATGTTGGATACTCAGATGAAAAAATCTACTAGCAACTGCATATGAAATTAATTATTGAGATGAAAAATGTGTTAATCATTCAACTTGTTCACTTACATTACAAATATAGGAAAGACAAAACAAAAAAAAAGAAAGGTAGAAGTATTAAAAACGTTTTTAAGCACAAGTGTTTTGATGATTATTTGCTTTTAGCCATATTCATATATCGATACAACAAAATCAAAATGTGGTACAACTTTACAAGTATTTTAATGCAGTTCTATTTCAGAACACCACTAAAGGTTACTTATAGGGATTTGTATACAATATTATTTGTTCTCATTTATCAAACTGATGCAAAACTGAGTCTTTTTGACATTTAATACAAACTTCAATGACAGAAAATCATGCACATTAAGTCAAGCCGTAAATATCCAAAGATGTATTATTGCAACAAGTACAAAGCTTACAATTGTGGCGAAAAAGCCATTGCTCATTGCTTGAAAAAAAGGTAATGATAAGATACACTAATTTTTCCTTTGTGAACTGTGGAAATAAACTATGATATACTTTTTTCTATAGACTAAAGAGTTTAATTGAGTAAACAAGTTGGACGCTGGTAATAAAACGACGCACATCTGCACTCATATGTAGCCGCCAAATAGCTCCTTCATCGATAGTTCTAACAAAAATCCTTGTAGGAGCCGATAACTGGAAACCACATTTGACTCACTGTTATGAATGATAAGGTTTACCTTGATTTTCAACGTAAAATTGCTTGCCTAATGCCAAATACACGCATATTGCTTCTTTGCTCTTTCTTCGGGGGGAGGGAGTAAAAAATTGTGAAATATTAGGAGAAGCAGTCATTATCAGTAAATCTGAACGGAAATAGGTCCATTCCACCATTTTTTCGACAACCTCCGATATCTAAAGCCGCGATTCAGATAGCCGCTCCAGTTATTACAGAAGTAGATTTTTAAATCAATCGTAAACTAATCACAAATGCAGCGCGCGAAAATGATGAATGGGAATGAAAATATGAATTATCAAGTATTGAGTTGATAGTTGTATTTTTGAATCCACTTCAATCCAAAACTTCAACATGGCTGAAAAATACATTTATGGGAAAGAAGGTAAGCACAATACATGGAAAAACATTTGTCAGTCTTAATAGTTTTTCCATAAAAACTGTTTGTTTTGTTTAATGACAAAATAATGAAGTTATTTGAAATGAAAAGTAGAAACACCACGCCATCATGATTCTTGTTAAATGATAAATTGCTTGCTTGTTTTGCTAGACAAATTTTGTCCAATTGTTACAGTTAGGTGCGTTCATTAGCTAACGTTTTAAAATGCTGTTTTAACCTTTCGAGGAAAATTCGACTAAATGAGTAAAAAATGGACCCTCTAAGTGTTTTACAAGCTTCCAGTTGTTCTCATTGGCGAAGCGAAACTGTTTATTTAATTCTGCTATTTCGAAATTTTTCACTGCTGACTCATTGTTATGGCCTGATAGGAATAATTTTAAAAATGCATAAAAAATGCATTAACAATTATAATGATGCATAAATAATCATAGTAATGCATAAATAAAGATAATAATAAGGGTTGCTCTTCAAATCATCTTATGGCTGCAATGATGACTCTGGTATATGACAGACAGTCCTAGTAGAGTGTGTCTGTGTGTGGGGGTGGGGGGTGTATCTGGTTAATCCCATTTTGCTTTTGTTAGTTATGTAATTTTTCAACTTATAGCTACTCAATATCTCGGGCAATATTGCATGAGCAGAAATTCTCCAGATAAAATTATACAGTTCAGAAAGACTTCTATGATACTTTTAGTTAGCATTATTTACTTGTATTTGTAGTTCTTTATGTATTCGTGGTAAAATGAATGAGCAATGGGTTTTCTTGTGGGAGAGGCCTACACCTTAGCCCATGTTTGCTGGAAGGGATGCAGAACGGTGGAAAATTTGCATACAGTATTTATTAATATACAAAGCAATTGAGGAAATGCTTTTTTGATTTGTGTTTCA